AGAAATATACTTAAGGATGTTACGTTGTCAATAGTAAGAGAGACAATTGAGACCCCTGCAATTGTGTGTAAATGAGGCAGAAAGTTAGATCAGCAACCTGGGACTTGGTCACAATTTTTGTGATGCCATATGGAAGCAGGGTCTACCATTAGACAATACATTATGCTTCCAATATCTTCCCAGGTGATAGTACCTCCCTGTTTGCTAGCTGCCTACTACCTACCACACATATATAAAGTATTGAAGTCCCCTAAGTAAATTACCATTGCAATTTTTTTTTTAAAGAATTAAGACACATAGTAATGTAGTGCCAATGCTATACTTAACAAACTAAATAATTCTGATAAACCAGTTTGCTGCCCATAGTACTGTTTGTAGCTAAAAAGATCTTATTAATAATATTAACAAACTTGGTATGCATCACATGATTCACAGCATATTTGCTTAAACAAAATCAAACACCAGCAATTAGATATTGGGTACATGTATTAAACAATGAGGAATATAAACCCATCATTTTATATGTGTACAAGAGCTAATTTGTTTTAAAGCTTTTGTTACATATTGTAACCCCTATGGGGCTGTAGATCAGTCTGACACAACTGAACATGTCCAATGATGTGGACGAGTTTTCCAGATGTTCCTCAAGTTCCCTGTTCCTTGGAGTCTTTTTTGTATTCAGGCATGAAAAGTAATGAGGTAACAGAAAGTCCTAAAAGAATTATTACCGAAGTAAAATTAACAATACTCTCCAATGATTTAATGAAATGTTACACAATAAGAATAAAGTACTGAGAAGAAAAGTTACCTTCTAGTAACTCATTTATTAAAATAAAAAAAATTGTTTGAGCTCAGTAGCAAGGTACCTTTACTTCATTACTGTCCACCACTGTCCAGCAGTGTTCATTTTTTGCTGTGTATCTTAAATAATAAATCGTGGGGAAAGGGGGGGGGGGGCTTATGTCCTGTTGTTTTAATTGCTTCTGTTGCATCACAATTGTCCATTTTTTAAACATTCGGGCTACTTAGTATTATCCCGAAAGTGCCCTCCGAGCCGTAATTAATTTTTTAAAACCAAATATATGTGATTTGGTTTGGGTTACTATTTAGTAATCTGAGTTGCTATTAGAACATTTTGGGATAAGTCTTTGTGTGTGGGTAGACTCCCAAAGACTTATCCTGAAAGTTCCAACTAGTTATACTATATGAATAGATAAAGTTTCTGAAATACAATAGGGGTATATGTAAATGTCCTAATAACCAGTTCCTACAGAAATGTATACAGTATAACCCCGCTTTACGCGGTCAATTGAACCCACGGAGTCCCGCGTGAAACGGGAAACGCGTAAATGGAACAACAGAACATATGGGATTCATTGAAATAGAGACTGGGCCGACCCCCAAACTCCACTTTTTCAGACACAATACCTACGTTGTAGTAAAAATAACTTCTTAATTTTATGATGGTATGCACACACAATTAATATTTAAGATAAATATCAATAATATTAGGTTTTTTAACACTTACATTAGTAAAAAAGATGGCTGGGCACACGGGGATGGGGGGTTGGTTCCGAGGCAGAGGGCAGATTATTGGCCCTCACCTGTATCACTTGTATCAATTGTATCACTATCCACCACAGAGGCTTGCAGGGCCTCTTTGTCAAACCCCTCAAAGTCCATATAAGTCCATATCCTCACTATCACTGTCACTGACTTGGGCCGGCTGTGGCGGGTGAAGAACTCGGTAATGTTTTGATGACTGGGCAACCTTGTGCGCACCCTGCCGGCACCGCTTCCCGCGTATGTGAGTAGATGCACCGCGTAAAGTGGGAATTCCGGTTTTGGTGGGGTACCGCGTAAATGTGGAAACGCGTTAACGAGAACCGCGTAAAGCGGGGTATTAGTGTATATATTTAAGACCCCGACATGCACCCCTGTGAAGTTTACCTTCAACTCTGAAGGTTTTTCGTCTCCCCATCTCGCTTCTCACAAATTATTTAACATAGAATTCCTGCAAACATCCTCTCGTAGCCTCAAGTACAATAAAGAAAAACTTTTTTTTGTGATAGATAGATGTATGTCATTTCATACTGATAGTTACCTTGGAAAAAAAAATTCTATGCTATATGTCACTGTTTGGGTTGTTGGTTTGGTGATGCTTATAGTAGGTACTACCAGTGTTTGTTAGGTTAGATTAGGTTATGTTACGTAAAATATTTTTTAGAGGAAATATTCAAACCTAACCTATAATCAGGGTTGGAAAAAAGTGTCATAATTGATTCATGATAAGACACTACAGTAAGTCCTCATATAACGTCATCCTGCTTAACGTTGTTTCGGTACTACATCACTAAACTTTAGAGACCAAAAATTCGTTAAACGTCCCGGTTATCCGATACTATGCCGTTTTGCGTCGTCTCGGACTACTTTCTGTGAGCTGGAACCAATTACCCAATATCCCATTGAAACAATGGTTTCGGTTAACGAAATTTTCAGTTAACAAACGACCCTCTGGAACGAATTGAGTACGTTAACCGAGGGACCACTGTACTATGATTTTATATTCTCCATTAAGAGGAAAAAGCAGTACAGTACAGTTTGTATTTTTTATCATGTCTTTTAGTGTTCTCTTTTGTCTCTCAGTCAAGCAAGTTACCTTCTCTCTTGAAAAAGAAGCTTTGCAACCACCACTCGTGCTTCAGCATTCACATTTGGCACCACAGATCAAGCTAATTTGTTTACACTTATCTTGCCCAGGCCTACCAACCCTCCTGAGTTGCGGTATTATGGTTACTAAGTGGTAACCCGAATGTACAAGCTGCTAATGGAGTTTGACGAATCCATTTGTCAGGTTACTAAAACTAAACCCGATATTCAGAATTGCTCTTCGGACTTGCTGCCCGGAATGTTTAGAAAAATGGCCAAATGAGTTGTTTGTGGGATTTTTCTTGCAGTATGTTATACAACTTATGGATCCATTCCAGAGGAGTCATTAGGGTATAAATTGATAATTTGCAAGGCTCTTGGTTTTGTGTTTGCACCCAAAATTATTAATCACCATAGCCATTGTCCTAATGACAGTGACTATTGTCTGCTAAACTGTTTTGACTCGAGTTAATGTACAGTAGGAAGTGTGACTAATTGATCTATTGCATTTTTACATAGTGGGCCTGATTTTAATGTGGTTGTTATTTTTAGGAAGTGCATGGTAATCTGCTATGGTGGTTGTAAATTTATTTAAACTGATGCTCAAAATGTCATGGCCAGCCAGGGGAGAACATTCCTGTTTTTCTAATGTTTTCTAGAGTAGGCTAGAGGAGTCAGACTAGGTTCAGGGCTTGTTTCCTCTGAGGATGGAAACCTTCCAGCCTCTTTTCTGTGGCATGTGACTAAGACAATACCAGGACATCCTGAACCATTGTTTCAATGCATGGTCTTCAAGTTCTAATCCTAAATTTAGTTTGCCATTCTGGCAGACATTTATAGACATGATGTGGTAAACTGCCTGAAAGATTCGACCATGGTAGAGAGTCCAGTCTGTGAACTAATAGCACATAGCATTACCAATAAGTGGTTGCTTCTGACTTGATTTTGTTCCCAGTTATCAAGTGTCTTTTTGCTTTTATCCCATCACCTTCTAGACAATGCTGTCAAGACAGTTGACAGGTTTTTTCCAAGGCCAACCTCTTATGGTTTATGATGGATCTGGTAGAGACTCATAAGCAGAGGTCTTGCCTCCCTTAGGGATGCTGAGGTGAACTGGAGATGAAGTGGTTGATGGGTCTGTCTTTTGCAACCACTGACGAATTGGGATAATAAGTGCATGCATGTTAGCACAGTGACAGTTAAAATAATCCACAATCATGTATTTATCATTGTCTAACAGGAGACTCCTTAACCCATCACTTGCTCTCATACCTCCAACTGTGTCATAAATATATGCTTACTAATCTCTGACCTGCCATGTCTTTCAAATGCTCATACAGTACCATCTGATTGTACTGCCATCCATTTAACTCAAAGGACTTTTAAAGTTCTACACAATCTTTATCCATCACTATTCCTTCCCCATCAGTCCATTCTGAACTTCCACAATATTTTGCAGACTTTCCATCTTTACTGAATTTTGCCATGATAAATCAGTGCTGTGCTCTGGAACACTAAAGTTCCACGTCTAGGCTGAATTAAGTTCATTTGTGCCTGTGATTGCACAAGTGAAAGTGCAAGTGTACTTGTGTGTGGATAGTGGGTTTGGGAGATAGATTAAACCAGGAGCTGGTGACAGTACAGAACTGTAATGAAGTGCACTTTCTAACATCCAGAGAAAAAAAACAGCTGTTTATAATCATTTTTTAATTGTTGGTTCTGTCCACATCCATATTTGAGCTACAATAATTACTCCTTTATTCAGTCTTGTTGTGCACTATATGTAAACTCATTTCATTTATTTATCTTGAATATATTTTCTTTCTAAAATAACATTCTTCGGGGAGGTAATCCAGCATTTATTACATACTTACACCTGGATGAACTTCATTTATTGCTTATAGATTACTGTATGTGCAATATTTTCTATTTGATCTAAACTGATTGAAAATAGATATACACTGTATCTAATTATGAAAATTTATTAAAAATAAAAGCATAATTCTAAATTGCAAATATAAGGTCCAGTTTGGGGAGTTTTACTCTCAAATACAGTACTGTAAAGGTTCATGTATCTTATTAACAAAGAAATACTATTGTGGTAAATATTTATATGCCTTAATGATGCATACTTGCTTACTGCTTATGTATTTCATACATTTAGCACGTATCATAGAGGTTTTCCATTATAAGTGCTAATTTTATGAAGGCATTTCCTATTATGAAGATGAATAACAATTGAATAAAGTTCTGCATTACACTGTATGAATAAGCCAAATGTCATGACAGCAACAAAGATTTTTTTTTAATTCATAATATAATATTAAATCCCTCCTGGTTTATCTAAACAGCAAAGAAATGGGAGTGAGAAGCCCATCACCTGCCACCTCCCAGACAGTGCGACAAGAAGTAAATGGCCATTCCAGTCCTGCTCCTTCCCTCTATCATGGCCAATCACGCCGTTCTTCCCTCACGTCCCTCAGTGAGTCAACCGAGGTCATCTCTTCGCACCCGAAGTTTGTGAAGGACATCTCAAAGTATTGGTATAAGCCAGCCATAACAAGAGATGAAGGTAAGCTTGTTTCTTTATATTTTTGGTAGTGGGTTGATGTGCTTGGTATTCAGTTTTATAAAATTAACTTTTCTGCATTGGGCTAAACAAATGTACTTAGCACATAAAGAACAGCTATTAAGCACCTTCTGTTATTACTGTAGTATCAATTTTAAAACAGTTTTTTAATTAATATTAGGCCTGATACATGTATGTCTTTCTTCTTTTTCTCTAACAGATAACAATACATGCCAGTAATATTTTGAAATAAGGTGTGCCTGTATTTTACTCTGCTAACCCTACGTTCCCTTTCCATTTTTATTATTGGAATGTAATATGAGGGGTATTACATGCTTCTGGCTATGACTTTGTTGGGGTGAACAGAAGGTTCAGTCATGGTGGTGAAAGAAATGACATTTTTTATTTTTAACTGTTTTTGTGATAAAGTTCAGAATGTGACGTTTAGCTTTATACCTAGATATGTAAATGCCTAGCATTAACTCGCCAGGCCAACATACAGACAATTAAAACATCTAATAATCACTTAAATATGTAATATTAGGAGGACACGTCGCTACCTGGCATTTAATTGCAATTCGCAAAACCCCCTCCCGCACCCTCCATCACACGCCTTGCTACCGTCATCTTCTTGCCTGGCGAATCAGCTGTAAACTCGCACAAGGAAGGCTCTGCTAATTTGTGTTGTAATAGCTGAAATATTAAGTGCCACGAGGATTTTATTTTTGGTATTTATACATCTTAGCACGGTGAGGAAATCGTGTGACCGATTTTCAAGCTCAACCTATCAGGATAAAATGGCTAATGGATGAGACAAGGGTTCCTCATATATTGTGCCCAGTTAAGAATCTTCAAGAATGGTTAATCAGATTCTCTAATCGAGGCCCCTATGTATTCTCATCACAGAATAGGAAGAAATTGTCTCCTAGTCAAATGACAAAATATTTATCTCAGTTAGTGACTCAAGCAGACCCTGGCAAGAAATTTTTGGCACATGACACCAGGAAATATGCAGGGTCTGTGGCCTTTCTGCGGCATATGAGCCTCAGTCAGAACGAAGAAGTGGTTTTGGAAATCTATCGTTGAAAGATGCTTCACATGTGGTGGTACTGGGGTCCTTTCAAAACAGCTATCTTCTTGAAACCCAGGAATATCTTCCCCAACTTCATTGATGTTCACAATAAACACATTCCCGATCCAGCTATGGTTCTCGAGGTTGATGTTGTCTGGAAAATACCTGTCCATTTCTTCCTTGGTGCACGAGTATTGAATGTGAACAGACTCGAACATTACTATGTTAAGTGTTATATGGATGCTTTATTATCCACAACTACTGTATTCTACTTTAGTTAGTATTTCAATAATTCTTCATATTGTGCCAGTGATGTGATCCAGTTATAAAAGTGTTATTATTTCATAATTTTGCCTTTTTCTATTGTTGTATTTCATAATATTATTATTACTGTATTATTATTATTATTTTTATTTTTTTTGGAGACTGTTCCATGACCCTCAGGAACACCCTCACAACCCTCATTTGGGTCACAACCTAGGGTTTGGGAACCACTGCCCTATATGTAATTGTCGGTTATGTGAATCTGCAGTTATTGGGACATCAGTTTTGGGGGTATACCTGTATTTCAAACCCCATTTTCTTTAGTTCAAAATAATTATTGGCAATCAATTTTAATGGATTTTTAGCCTTAGCAACAATAGTTTTCCCCCAAATTTGTCTGTTATCCCAAGGGTTTACTGTACTGTTCTCTTGTTTAGAATGTGGAACTGTACCCATGTACAGCACTCGCATATTAATTTTTAGACCTAATACAGTTTTAAAAGTTTTACTTCATCTATAAACTTGATGGTGATCAGAGATTAGACTTACTTAGAAAGTTAATTATAATTTATGCATCCTATTATATTACTGTACTTAATATTTTGATAAATCTGGAAAAAAAAATTTTGGCATGAATATAATTTTTGACAAAACACTAACGGATGTAGACAAAGTTAGAATTTTTCTTGTTTTGTTGGATATTGCCTTCTTACGTGGCTAAAAACATTTTTATTAGTTTCTTTAAATTTGTCTTCAATTGAAAAAGGTTGGATTTGCCACTTCTCAGAAATGACCTGCAAATGGAGAAAGAAATTATATTCTCAAACTTATGAATGGTGTTTGAGATTTATATACGTACATACACAGAATAATTTAATAATGTTAAAATAATTGTTGCAATTCAGCACAATGTAATAATTTGTATGTTTCCCAGTCTTCACCATTAAAGTTCGAAATATAACCTTACTTTTATTTCAGCCATCACTATGCTCAAGGACAAGGCACCAGGCACGTTTGTTGTTCGAGATTCCAACTCGTTCCCTGGAGCTTTTGGCCTGGCTTTAAAAGTTTCTACCCCGCCACCCAATGTCACAACCAAGTCAAGTGACCCAGCCAGTGAACTAGTGCGCCACTTCCTTATTGAACCAACCTCAAGAGGAGTCAGACTCAAAGGCTGTGCAAATGAGCCTGTATTTGGTATGTAATTAAAATTTAATGTCTTGCTTTACCTCACTTTTCAATGGACTTTTTAATAAAATTATATTATCACACACTTAAGCAATATGAAAGGAAACTAAAAATATATGTTGAGTAAAGAGCATGAAAAGAAACAATTTGTACAGAATAGTTCTAGTGTTTGTGAGAAGTAATGAGGGAGATTGGTTGACTGGTATATAAAAAGGGAAACTTCAAAGACTACTGTGCTCTGAATTTACTATAGCTTTCTGTTCTTTTATTTTCATTACCAATATGTTTACAGTATTAAGATATAATGTTTTACTCTTATTCCCCTCACTTAACTTTTAACAGCAGTCAATATCATATGAAGTTTCCTTGTAAAATGGCAATCGATAGCATTTAATGCTTCAATTTTTCCCATTTTATATTTCCTTGTGTGTGGAGAGTAATTTACAGAATAACCTACTATGTAAGAGTTAAACAGAGGATTATACATTTTGAAAACCAAATTTTTCATTTGTTGAATAACAATTATTGGTCAAAATATTTTTTGAAAATGCTGACTTTAGCAAGTATTAAATAGATTTTTAATTTTGAGCTTAGAACTCTCGAACATCCAAATAAATTGTCAACTATTGAATATTGCTAAAATCCTGAGTTCAACAGTATTCCATAAAACATACACCTACCTACCTTTTTTAAAATGCAATAATACCCCGATTTACGCGGTCAGTTGAACCCGCGGAGGTCCGTGTAAAACGAGAAACGCGTAAATGGAATAACAAAACATATGGGATTACCAGGTAATTGAAATAGATACTGGGCCGACTCCCAAACTCCACTTTTTCCGACACAATACCTATGTTGTAGTAAAAGTAACATCTTAATTTTATGATGGTATGCACACACAATTAATATTTAAGAGAAATACAGTTGCCTGGTTAATGTCCATTCAAATAATGGACTCAACTCCCCCCCCACTTCCCACGCTCGCTGGCTCCTCCCTCTCTGAGAAATGTTTGGGTGAAAACACTAGATTTTAAGGTATAGTAATAAATAATACCTCAGACTAAAGTTAGGATAATATAATTGACATTGCTGGATTCCTTGCAAGACCAGGAATATTTTGAATGTACACGTCATATATTTTGCACAAAAGATAACATATTTGCTGTGTAAACAAAATTCTTATATTAGATCTAAAATTTGTATGTCTAATGCAAAATCCATGATGTTTATATTCAAAATGATCATCATATTGTAAAAATTCCAGCAATGTAAATTATATTCTGGCCGGGTAATTTGTATGAATTTTATGAGCTAAATAAAAAAATTATACTTCACCCGTGTATACGAGTAGATGCACCGCGAAAAGTGGGAATTCCGGTTTTGGCAGGGTAGCGCGTAAATGGAGAAACTCGTAAACGAGAACAGCGTAAAGCGGGGTATTACTGTAAAAGCATTTATAAAGTCATCTCATTATTTGAGCGATTGTTTAACTTTTCATTTGGTACTACAGTAGTAGAGTACAGGTATCCCCCAATTTACGATAGGGTTGTGTATCGAAATACTGTATTGTAAATTGCAAGCCTTTTAACATGGGTTTTAATGGGATGCATTCCTGGCCTGTCCAACACAGACATGTAACACAGAAAACACAATCCTGCACTAATTATATAAATACAACAAAATTAATCACTTCCCACATTAATAATAACAAGCCCACCCTTTAACAATGTCTCCTGAATTATGGTCTTCCTCAAAACCTTGGCTTTCCCAGAGGAGAGAGACTCAGCAGGCTGCTTGCTAGCCATTTTCAAAGTTACGGAGTTACTCTACACTGATCACTTCACAGTCACCAAACCAGAGTAAAATTTTATTGATAATGTTTTCCTCTCACCAATAATGGCAAAGTATCACAGCGATCACAAGGTTACGCAATGATTAATAATGATAACGTTTGTTTCACGAGTGAGGGCAGTTGCAATCACGTTGAAGCAAAGCGCGTCATGATCGCAACTGCCTAATGTAACTCACGATACGGTGTTAAATTCTAATTGACGGAAACGTGGGATTATCGTAAAACGGATGGTTGTAAACATGGGGATACCTTTACATTGTTATCTACTTGATAGCTGTACAGTGTTATAGACTTGACAGGTATTTCTTTCCACAAGATAAATATAAAAAGTCATTAATCATGCCATATGTGACAGTCCTCATGTTTAGGTTACCAAATTACAGTTTTGTTTAATCTCTTATAGTACCAGCAGAATCTAACTCTTTACATGTTTTAACCAATTTCATGAAGATTTCTATTAAATGGTTTAACAAGAAACCATCTGGATATGTGATGTACTAATTACAATGGTTAAAGCTCAGTCATTTCACTATTTTTAAAAGAAAGGGAAAACTTATTTACAATAGCTACACATTGTGATTTAATTTTTATGATTTCACTTAACTCATAAAATTTTGGAACCCAAATTAATAATGCCTATGGTAATACTTTTTAGGGTAACTAATTTAATGTACTGTATGTAATTCTTTTCTTTTCAGGTTCCTTGTCAGCACTAGTGTACCAGCACTCCATTACAGCCTTGGCTCTCCCATGTCGATTGATGCTGCCTGAGAAGGACCCAGCAGGAGTTCCAGACACTGTAGATAGTGGTGCTAGCACAAGTAGTGGTAGCAGTTCCACTACACAGCTTTTACAGCAGGGGGCAGCATGTAATGTCATGTATTTACACACAGCAGATACCGAAAGCCTCACTGGTCCCCAAGCTGTCAAACGTGCAGTCAGTCTCATGCTGGCTTCAAAAATAACTCCAACAGTTGTGCACTTCAAGGTGTCTGCACAGGGTATTACACTGACAGACAATGAGAGAAAACTGTTCTTCCGTCGACACTACCCTGTAAATACCATCTCTCATTGTGGTTTAGATCCTGATGATAGGCGCTGGACACACAAGAATGAAGATGGAACTCCACTTGGATCTCTGTAAGTATCCATTGTTTTATATTTGATACACTATTTATTTTAATGATTCATTTAGCCTTTATATGTGAATTTACATGAATTGGAAATACAGTATTTGATAGTTTTTTCTCCTGTGAATAGTTCTTGCTCTTGTTCTTGCATGTTCAGATTTAAAGTATTGTACACTTACACATGAAAAGGGTAATGAATATCTATTCCAGTGTAAAAATATATACAATAAATATACAGTACTACATACAGTATATATATTTTTTCAGCCGAGTTTTTGGATTTGTGGCCAAAAAGGGAGCAAGTAGAACAGAAAATCAGTGTCACATCTTAGCTGAACTGGAACCAGAGCAACCTGCTACTGCAATCTGCAACTTTGTTACAAAAGTTATGATGACTAGTGTGAGCCGACCCAACCTTGTATAGTTTCATTGAAACCATTGGGCAACTTAAGCAACTTGTATGGTCTGATTGAATTATCTCAATTAGTGCTAAATAGTACATGAATTTGTTGGAGGCTTGATTTGGACACAACTAATGAGTTTTAAGAATAGGTTGTATATACACTAATGGTATCTCAATCTTTTATAATGGTGGTGAAAAAAAATAATATATATATAGAAAGATTAGGCTAGGGAGCATTTCAATCAACTTTTCACCAGTGATATCCTTCAAACCTGATTGGGAATATGTTATTTTAGCTTTCCATATTAAAACATAGAAGTTTTAGTTAGAAGATAAAATCAGGGAAGACTAAATGAAATAGAACTGCCAGTAGGTAATGAGACTAAGATTACAAAATCAGCATATGTGATATACATTATGCAAAAAATTCATGACTTTTTCAACTGTGAGGAGCCTCTGTTAGGAAGTAGACTGGTAATCAAAGTACCTAAGTAAATTTATGTAAGGACTGATTTTGCACAATAGTGACAAAGTTTCTGCTCAAAATTATTTAGAGCATATGAAGAACTGTAAAAATAATCTTTTGAATGCAGTGTTGTGTAATTTTGCACTTTTAAATATCATGTGACTCATTTAATGTAATTCATGTGTTTAACAATCAAATAAAACTTGTCTCATTGTTTTGCTTTACATGTGTGTTGCATAGGTTACATAACCTACCATATGATTATACTTTATTAATTACTATAGGCAGATTTTAATATATGAGCTACTTTCTTGTTTCATTAATGTTTAAAATATATTTCTTCTTTGTAGAGTATGCAATAATGACTGTTAAATCTTGCTTTTATTATAAACTTTGAATCAATATGCAATTCATGCTCCAAAAATTAAATATTATTCATTAACACATTTGCAAATATATGTATTATTTGTATTTAATGTAAATCTGCATTTATAGTGTGCATAAATCTAAGGTGACTTAACCCAGTGAAATTCGACAGTGTAAATTTTGTATTTAGTGACTAATCTAGTTCATCCTTTGTATTGGCAGTCTCAAGTATCTGCGTGAAAACACATGACCATGTGTCAGTCAATGTTCCAGGCATATTTGAATGTTTTGTACATAATGTCCATATGTTTAAGTGATAGTAATACAGAACTTTTATCAGTTTTGAATATTGTAAATCATTCTTCCATACTGTAGCTTCCACCTACTGGATAAAAGACGTTTGAGCAGCACAGTACACAGCAACAGCAGATTTGTAAATCTCGCAAAATGTTCACAGTCAAAAGGTGTTTGTACACCAATTTTTGGTGGTACAATTACACATTTTAAATAATAATTACAAGTGCTAAGTACACATTTATATTTGCCAGATGAGGTAGAGCAGGTAAGAGGCCTGGCTAAACTAATAAGGAAGCAGTTAGTTCCTTTATAACACTTATAAGGTGCTTCTTAACTCATGTAAATGACCTCTTCATGCTTCTTCCAGAAATAAAGAACAATTTCAATGGTTTCTTTATTCCATCACTAATTTCCAAGGAAGTGTTTATTTTGCCTGTGTATCTTTGCCAACAGTAATATCTCCATTAGAAGGAACCCTCCAACAGCCGGACTTGTAATATGCTCGGAATTTTTCAGGAAAATTCTTTTAATTCTGGGTTTGGGAACAAATTCTGGGGCTAAAGATCAGGAGCATTTTCTGAAAAAAAATCTGGATAATCTCTCCAAATATTTATTTCTGAGTCTGGGAGCAAATTCTGATTATGAAATACTGTATTGCACTATTACCCCCAAAAGAAATGAGAAAGTGGCGAGATAATCTCTTCAAAGCTTTCTGCTCTGGGTGTTATGAAAGAATGCATAATGCTTAGGTGCTGGTGAGTGCTCTAAACATTTTATTATGCTTATTTATATTGTGTAATTATTTTACAGTACAGGTACTGTATATTATACACTGTACATTATTGGAAAATTTCCAAATTTTTGTGTTCAGTTGTTGCACCTGGCCATACTTTGGCTGCCACATAAAATAATTTATTTATAATTACTGATGCATATAGGGACCGGGAAAAGTCGTTGGTTAGTGAATCAACAGTTGTCAAACCAATTAATCCCTTAAGAAAATAATAAATTCAGGGGGTTGGGGGACTGGTCACCCTCCAAAAACTCCATCTACCCTTGATATATCTCTGTTGTGCAAACTGTCAAGCAAGAAAATAAAGCAAGTATAATAAACCTTAAATAAGCAATGTAAAGCATAAATTGAGACTGTTACATGTATATTTACCTGTGTTGAGAATGATAGAGATGGTATAGGGTAGCAAGTTCAAGTCTCTACCAATCTTTGCTGATCCATCACCACTCTTATTATGCCTTATCACATCACGTGAAGTTGCCCAGCACAAGAGGAACTATCACTGGAGCATTTAGGCATGATTGAGTAACACACTAAGTCATAAATAATGATAAAACACATAGTAAGTGTAAACAAGAAGATCAAAGATGGCAGGAATGAGTCAGGGCAGTGCGCAAAGCCCTCTGGTGGCAAGAATATGCGACACTCCGCCAAATTCAAAACAGCTCTGCCGCTCCTCTCCGATCATCGGATCTCCGGGGTACAGGTTGACAATCCCTTATCCGAAATCCTTGGGGCCAGAGGCACTTCGGATTTTGCAATTTTTCGGTTTTCAGAATTTTTTTTTTTTATTATGCCCACCCGGGCGTAGATCACTGACCCACATCAGGGCCTGGGGAATATTATTATTATTATTATTATTATTATTATTATTATTATTATTATTATTATTATTATTATAATAATAATAATACTGTAATAATAATTCATAGGTCTAGGTCGCATTTCTCACTTATGATCTTTTTTTCATTGTATTTCTTTATTATTATTATTATTATTATTTTATTACAGTATTATTGTTATTATTATTATTATTATTAATTTTATTATTACAGGTACTATTATTATATTATATTTTATTATTATTGTTATCATTATTATTTTATTTTGGTGTACAGTATTTTAATTAAAAATCTTATTTACTATGAATAATTATAATTATAATTATTATTACTATTACTATTACTATTACAATTACAATTACAATTACATTTCCGCCCACCAGGCCCCGATGTGAGTCAGTGATTTATGCCCGGGTGGGCTAATCCCTGTTTAAAAAAATAAATAAATAAAAAAATTGCCCCACAAAAAACTTTCGGTTTTTAGAGCTTTTCGGTTTTCGGAATTTCGGATAAAGGGTTGTCAACCTGTATCGCCAAAACTTGCGAGGCATTTCTCCTATATGTAATTGGCGGTTGATGGGACATCGGTTTTTGTGGTACACCTGTAAAAGTATAGTAAATAATATAGTACTTGTAATGAATAAATGTAACTGCGAGGGGTGGGGTGATGAGGCAGATGGTGAGGTGATGTGACAAGACACTTAGACAGCATACACATTAACAGCATTACTAAACCATTGATTGTCTTATTACTTATTAATTTATAAACTATTTAAAAATTAAATGATACCTGATGGCTTTATTTGGCTACTTTTGCACGTAGACAACTGATCAGTGAATAAACCGGGGCATATGGAGATGCATTATATACTACTACAATAATATTTATTAGTTCTAAAAAGTACAATACAATATTATTTACTAAGTTCTCAAGACAAGTCCTGTGGTAAGCATACCACCAACCCTTTTTAGCAGTGACAACAACGGTGCTTGAAAGATGGTGAGTGCTGCCAACATTACTAGGGAGCAATGTCAGCTGGTACTGCTCTGAAACAAGACTGAGAATGTACTACAGCACAATAACTCGCCTGGGAATGAGTGTGGTATTTGGGGGAGAAAATCAATTATTATTTTATAATGTTTTATTAACCTGGCACCAAATGAACCTAAATAATGTGGTAATTATGGTGAACTGCGTGGCGTCATTAAAAGGGACCGCTGCCTGCTGAGACCCTCCCTCCCTCCTTCACCACATCCTCTCCACTGCTAGGCACTCAAACATAGTTTTATGCAGTATCTTAATATAATTCATATCCTATTCCTATAATTCATTCATCAGTAATTTATGAGGAAACCGTTACCACCAGGAGTTGTGTGATTTCATTAATTTTTACACATGTTCTTTTCATTATATAAATTATATATCATTTTTTTCTAATGTTTAATACTTGTACTGTATCCCTTCAACATTACAGTACATAACATTTTAAAATATGGAGTGAGAATGGAGAAATGAGTGGTGGTGTGAAGGAGGGGACCCTTGGAGGGAAAAACTGACCATGCGGACACCCCCACCCTTGCAAAGGGTCGTCTCTCTCCCAGTACTTGTCACCGACTACTGACTCTCATTTTTCATTTATGATGCAACATTGTTTATTTGCTATTTATTAATCAGTAAAGATACATTACTGAAATAATCTGTGCTTATTAATACCTGTACCCTTCATATACTGTACAGTACAGGTACAAGTTATTTTTGTAATTTATCAGTACAGTGGTCTTCGGTTAATGAGCACAATTCGTTCTAGAAGGTGCTTCTTAACCGAAAAATTTGTTAACCGAAACCATTGTTTCAATGGGTTTTTGGGTAATTGGTTCGAGCTCACCGAAAATTGCCTAAAGTCAACCAAAAAGGTAGTAAAGTACACTTACTTTGAGGTTTTGAGGTGTGTATGTAGAAGGCTCCTGGATGATGATGATGATGATGATGATGATGGGAATTAGAATGGAGGTGGAGGAGAAGAGAAGGCATTGGGGTGGAAGAGAAGTCACCCCATGGCACCATTTCACCCTATAAAAATTTAGTTCACTTGGTGTAATTCAAGATTATTTTCTTTAAATCAACACTGCACGGCATTATATATTGTCAATATGTAAAATAAATTTCAAAATGACCAATAATTTGACTGGAAACGCAGAAAAATAGCGTTTATGTTGAAGAGAGTCTGAAGCAAGATGTTACCTCCACTGAAAAGACACAGAGACTGACGCCTGTATGGTGTGTTGACAGGCTGTTTGGCGCGCTAAAAACTAGTTTCCCTGTACAGTAGTACCCCGATTTATGCGGTCAATTGAACCCACAGGGTACCGCGGAAAGTGAAATCAGCGTAAAGTGAACAACAGAACATATGGGATGAATTCCAATAGAGACTGGCCCTATCCCCAAACTCCACTTTTTGACGACACACAACTATGTTGTTGTAAAAATTTTATCTTAACTTTATGATGGTATGCACACACAAGTAATATAGAAGAGGTTAGGTTAGGAAAAATAAAGGTTAAGTTAGGAAAAATAAAGGTTAGGTTAGGAAAACTAAAAGTTAGGTTGAACACTTACGTTAGTAGAAGAGATGAGTCGGCGTACGGGGATGGAGGCTGGTTCCGAAGCAGAGGGCAGCTTACTGGCCCTCAGGTGAATCACCATCACTCTCCGTTATAGTTGTCAGGGCCTCCCTGACAAATCCCTCAAAGTCACCTTCACCTTCACTGTCACTATCACTGGCTCTCGCTGGCTGTGGTGGGTTGCGGGCGAAGAACTCGGTAATGCTTTTTTGACGGCTAGTGTTGATGTTGTCTTGGTACACCTTGATGTACGGCTCCATAGCCTGCACCAGCCGGGTATGGAAGACTTCATAGCGGTCATCGTCGTGGTCGTTGGAAAGGAAGAGCTGTAATTTTTCTGCACACTCGATGGCACCCTTAATATTACTATGCGTTAATTTGTGTTCTTCTGGGATTGACGCACCACCTTCTTCTTCACTGACGTTATCATCTTCCAACAACTCGTTGGCAGTCATTTCAGGATCTCTGATCACCTCCAGGATGTCTTCGTTGGTGGTCTCGGAGAAGCCTTCAGCTGTAATACTGTGCGCAGCTTCTCTTGCAAGGTCCAATGCCAGTCACAGACTGAACCTCACCAGTCACAGGTTGACTCCGCCTCTCACCTGGTATGCCATGCAACACATGCCTCCATGCGTGACGAATCGTAGCTATAGACAGCTGATCCCATGCCTCCACCAAGAAGTCTACAGCTTGTTTGATGTTAAATTTCTTCCAAAACTGTTTGACGAGAACTTCTTGAGTCACCACCTCTTGTTCCTTGTCCTCGTCGCTTTTACTCTCGCTGTACTCTCGCTGTCGGTGTCACCCAGCTTACGCAACTCATCCTTGGTGTTGGTACAGTCGTTCAGGAGCTTGAATTTCTTTGCCGAGTATGCAGCTTTAACATTGCAGATCAACTCCTGGTCCATGGGCTGGATTAATGACGTAGTATTGGGAGGAAGGAAGACCACTTTTACGTTGGGGTGACGATCCATAAGTAGGGGCGAGTGTCCTGGTGCGTTGTCAAGGAGCAACAGAATGTTGAATGGCACATTTTTTTGCTCGCAGAATTTCTTCACGTCGGGAATGAAACAGTCATCAAACCAGGAGAGTGACGGAGCAGAGAACATCCACGCCTTGCGTGCGGTCA